AAACATGGGAGACGCCGGGATGCTACCAGATTTTATAATAATAAGGGTCTTGGCTCAAACTCCAACAAATGCATATAAGGAAGCTAACTTAAACTTTAACCAAAATGATAAGAAATTGAACTTTTAAGTACCACCAGAAACTTGAACGAATGTAGAAGACTCATACTGAGTTTGAACTCATGCATGAAATAAACATAGACCTTAAACTTTCAAGAATATATGGGACTTGAGCGAATGAGAAATATTCTTTTTGGACACAAACTTGAACTTGAACCTTGAGTTTGAGAATAATTGAACTAAATGAGTAGTAAAGAATTTTATTTTAACAATAGCACAATATTTTCAATGGAATATTGAGAAATTGTCACATAAATTGAGTTGTAAATGAACATATATGAACTCATGAATAAGAGGATTTGTACAATGACAATATGTTCATTGGTACCACAAAAAACTTTCAATCGACACATAAGTAACATGATCATGTCAAGGAGCTTAATGGTGTTAATAAACCAAGGTCCTAATTAGTAGAGCCGCTCTCAAATATGATAAAAAAATTGTAATAGATAAATATACAGATATGAACTTACTAGTCGATATGTCAAACTCTTGCAAGCATTATTCATTCAAAGAAATGACAATGAAATTCAATGCAATTTGGTGACCCGAAATAATTGCAAAGACTACAAGGATTTGTAAATAGCATGATAGCTTGACACTCAATAACAATATACACAAAAACACATTAAGCTCTTGTGGATTTTTGGGATTCATATGCAAGGAATTCAATGAACCACCGATGAACACGATAAAGGAGTTATAATGAACATAACTCACCCACGAATCAATCATGGAAGCAAATACCATTCCCTCCCTAATAAGTAGAAGGATTTAAGTAACAATGAACAAAAACTTGATAAACGTGTAATAGAAATATGAATGTCAAGTGATTAATAAGAATATTCAGACAAGCACTAACAAGCAACATAGAAATATTGCTTACCAAGAACAACATGCATGCAAGAAAATGCAATTGCTTACACATGATCAAGAACACCATACATGACATGTTCGAGATCAACAATGTAATTCTCTTGATTAATACTGATGGTGTCATCATATCAGTTCACATACAAGCACCAATGAACAAACAAAAGACTCCTTGCATGCAAGGGACCACAACCGACAAATAATTTTGAATGTAATGAATTCCCTACGTATGTGGGTGCATGGAAGACATACAACATATATAATAATCCCCCCATATGGGCAATCTTAACTTGTAAATAGGTACATTGTACTCTTACAAGCGATGGCGATCAACACGAAGATATGAATAAAGGCACCCAACCCCCTTTGGTAATGAAAGTTAAGAAGAAATATATAGTTAGATTATATACATATATGTCCGAGTCTTCGATGAATGCAATATCTTATCGATAAAAGTACACAACGAGTACTACGACAACTCTTTAGTCAATGACAATCGACTCATACATGAATACCATAATTACCTATGAATGTTGAAGGTCAACACATAATGAGCATGATGGATGCTCTAATGTACTTTCAACTACTATAGTTGTTAGTACAAGGTAGCGGCCACTAATTCAGAAGCATAAGACATCAGTAGGAATGTAGTCATTCAAGGTTGAAATGATTGATTCTTTGTTTAAGCCAACAACAAGAACAAATGATGATGGCATAGTTAAGGAATCACCTATTGATTTTTGTATGAGTTCTTCAAAGAGAAAGCCTGATCAAATCATTATTTTCAAAGATAGAATGAGCGAGTCTCAATTCAACCGGGTTTTGAATATTGAGTTGGATAATATTATTGATTCTTGGGAGCTTCTTAATGAATAGTATTCGTGCATCTAGCATACCACCCACAAGAAAATGTTGAAAGATTACGATAAACATGAGCTTCTATGGGCTGCTGTGGAAGTCCTATGGTGCACTAAACATGCCACTTATAGAAAAATACAGAAAAGGCTATGACAAGAGCAAGTTTCTACGAGTTATTGTAGAAGACCCATCAAATATCCAAAAATACCCTACACTTTCATCATCACATGTATACACATAAACATAAGTAAATGCACAAGTAATCAAACACCTGCAAGGGCCCTAGTGAGCGTGTTGTAGGAATACACATGAAGTCTAAGGTGATGCACGTTTTAATAAATTAGGACACTATCATCCTAAATAGGTAAATATGAGTCGATAAGGTTTAATAAATAAATATAAAATGCCCTCAAACAACCGCATTGGCCACAATATGCATGTTATTAGTACACACGTGACATCTTGGGATACTGTATGGGTCAAAAAATAAACACATGTTTATGCCTAATCCCTTAATATAAGTAGATAGGAGTCGACATAGCTTGAACCGTTTTATGCTTATAACACCGACCAAAATATTTTATTTTATTGTTCATATAAAGTCCATAACAAAAGAAATTCATCAACAAAAATATAAAGCATATGGACCCGATCCTCTGTCAACCATTAGATAGAGTCGATAAGGTCCAATCAATAAAATATAATTGAACATCACCACCCCAATGATGGCCACAGGTAAATCTGAACTTGAGGGGTAAATTCTAATATTAAAAATACTCCCAAAATATTCAAATGCCAATAAAAAACCCAAAATCTCAAAATTCAAAATATTTAAATAAATGAAATTATCCATCCAAACACTTACGGAATAAAATCCATCCACCATCCGCAATTGTTTATTGAGGTGAAAAAATTGAAAAATACTTTAGCACACAATGAACTAATGTCTGGTCATGAATATCACTAGAATTTATTCTCAAACAGTCTCCAGCCAACGAGAACATGGTACGTATCCTCTAACCAGCATTTTTGCTTCCAAATGGCTCCGCAAGATAAATAGTTATGATCAGGGCTTTCTAAACTGGGTGGTTTGCTGCCAAATGGTACCACTAAATTACGGATATGACCAGAGCTCGTATGCTCACCAATGGAATTAAATCTTTGATATATGAAAAAATAATATATAATCGAAAGAGCACAAAGCCCTTTATTAGCTAAGGTGGATTAAGATTTATCCTCTTAAACAAACATCCACCACAACTCTATAAGGTACCATTGGACGAAGAAACCCATGACTGCCGATAAAGATCCTTCTGTCAGGTATGGTCGACTACCTCCACTAACAAAGTAGATAAGGGACGATGAAGGCTCGGGATGACGGAACCATGGGATTTAGATCAGGTCCATCTTCCATTCGCTCACAATCTGCATTAAGCAAAACATGGTGACATATCCAATTTTAAATATCAGCTCTTCAAATTCTAAATTTCCATTGCTTTTACTATATACCAGATAACTTTCAAGGTATCTAATCTACAACTTGCCTTAATCGAAAATTCTCTCTCATTATTGGGAGTGGTAATTACCTATAGGGGCTTGCGCCTATAGGAAACCAGAACTCAGATCATAAAGTCCTCATAAAATGAGGGTGAAATCTTTGGATAATGACTTATCTACAAACTCATCTACCTTTCCAAAATTTACCCCGGAACTTAATCCATTAAAACACCTCCGAGAAAGCAACAGGGAGGCTGGGGAAAAATTTTTGGAGCGCACAAGTGATAGATTTGCATCAACACTGAGCAACCGTCCCATCGTATAATGCTTAGAGGTTGCAGTTAACAAACTTGTAGATGCTAGGTAAATGACATTTTGGAATATGTAAAACACTTTTAAAAGATTAAGTAGTGCTTTTTTTTTTCTTTTATAAATGCATATAAACACAGGTACAAAATTAATTCATATAGTACGTTTTGACTTGGTAATAAAAGTTGGTTGTAAATTAGCTTTCATATATGACACTATTTATGTAGCTTGTCCAATAGTTTCCAACGGTTGCTTTGGTGGCGCGACCAATGCTAACTATTGTAAGGATTCCCTTATGCGGCTGCACACAAAGAAGAAGCCATCTGAACTTTGTTGATCCGCCCTACCTTGGACAAAATGTCTTAAACTATGAATATTGAACTGATTTAGTGGCCTTCAAGCCTCAAACATGGGAGACTCAGGCGTCTAAGAACTCAATTCAATGTACCAAATCTTGTTAAACAATTTGTACAATGAGCTTGATATTCATGATAAGTAAAATTAAGCAATTTTATAATTCATTTTATTTGTTTCATGTGGTGTGATTTTATTTAACAATAATTATTGATGAAATAGCAATTTTAATTATCCCAACAATAATTGTGTTGTGTGATCTCAGTTCTTTTCCTAATGATATAGAAATATCAATAATTTCGTGAAATGAGCTAAAAATCCCATTATTTCTCACCAGATTTGAGTAGTTCACTTTTTAGGGTGATTTCAATTGGGATTATTATTTATCACAAAAGATCTTATATTCAGAAATTTTCTTAAACTATGAGTTCATTTGGTTGCTTGGATATTGAAATAATTTTCTAGAGAACGTTAATTTCTCTCTTTTTTTTTTCTTCATTTTTCTCGTGTGCTCTATTTGCTAAAACAACAATAGTTGATTTCAATACAGCCAAAATTTCATAGTTGGTTCACTCCTAACTTTAGGCTTTGGGGCTTTTTTTCGTCCTTCAAATGAATCTCATACGCTCACGTTTGTAACTGTGAAAGAACTATCGTTCAATTCCAGGGAATGCCAATGACGCAAATGGGTGACGAAGAAGATAAGTATATGGGCAGTCCGACAGCGTAACTTTAAGGCTCATTCATTGTTGGATTGATTTTAATGCTTCAAGCACATTCAAGCTAAAATAATGGTTTTAATGCAATCAAGTAGTTGCCGAGCCAGTTTGAGTATTTCAGGTTCCTGTCCGCCCATGCGGATGTAATAACATACTTGTTCAAAAATTTTGTTAATCCTCCAAGTTCGATAACTACAAAATACTATTCAAGCAAACAGGACAAAACAGGAAAATGATTTAAAATATTTGTTAGTTTATAATTAAATTAGACCGAATCATAAAATTCACATAATTTCATTATTATATATAATATATTTTTTACTACAACCATATAAAAGCTCATAAGAAAGCGAACATATATCCCACTTAATAACCTTTAATAACAATACCTAATAATTTTATTTATATGTTGAAGAAGACTAACCAAAAACCTTATACGGAAGACCCGTAAATTTTGAAGAAGCTGCATGAAGTTGGATACCGAGTTCTTTTGATCCTTCATTCCCCTTCAGCTTATAAACAAGCATTCGCCCAATTGCTAATTTTATTTTAACCCATATGTATTAAGAATACTGAGTCAGCCAGAAACACACCTTCAGCACGAGATTCATCAGTCGTCGTTTCGGTACCTGAAACAGCAAATTAGTATTACACATATAAAGATCACTATATGCCTCATTATTATCGTCATCAAGCTCGGACCATTAATTTAATATCTTTGAAAGCTTGCAACATAAAACTTAGACTGCAGCCATTCAAAATTTTCATCTCATCATAATTAATAGAATACTGTTTGACAATAACAGTTGTGCAAACAACACGACATCAGGACATGAATCCATAAGCATTAAATGATGGAAAATGTTTATTTGCAGAAATATCCAGAGGAAAGATGAAATGTAATGTGCTAAAATAAATTAAAATAATTATGACATGCTGCTCGATATTAATTTAATAAAAAAAATATTCTTCTGACATGAATTTTCCTCATAAAAGCTTGATCATGGCTGCCATGTTAGATTGCTTGAGACTGCATGTCTTTTAATAGGACAAAAATTGTCGGTATAATTAAAGTTTTTATAAGCTATACTTAGGTTGGCTTTTTAGTTTGCTTGTCAGTGAGCTTATGATAGGTTCTGGTAGTTATTGTTAAGAAAAAAAGATAACTGAACAGCAAACTCATTTTTATGACACCTAATGACCTACATGTGGAGTTGGTGTATTGTTTACAGTACATTTAACATATCATCCTACATCATAATTAAGGAGAACAAGAATAAGTTTGTTCTTAAAGCAGTTAACAAAAGGCTAAAAGGAAAAACAAAATTCCGTTGGATGGAAACTCAAGGGAGGAGAGATTTTTCACGAATTTTCATTAAAATGGATGTCGTACTTTAATAATGAAAAACGTCCCCCTCAGGGGTTCCACTCAAGTCATCTTCAACGAATTTTCTTCCATGAAATGAGCAGCTAGATTTATTGGGGCTTTTATATGAATGTGATGTATTATATATATATATATAGAGAGAGAGAGAGAGAGAGAGAGAATGCTCGTATTATTATATAAAAAATTAACAAACCAAATCTCTTTTCTCCAAGAACATTTTTTATAAGTTAAACAAGGAAAAAGCAGAACCAAATTAATCTTTTAAACTCAAGCGAAATTCATTGATGGTGTTCCAAAGGTCATTAATGGTACAGAGTTCCAAAGGTCAGGATAGGCTACATCCTTCTTACCTCTGTTGCTCGTTGCCACCGGAAGAAGGATAATTTGGAATCGGAACATCGCCGGACTCGATCCTTTGAACGTCTTCCAGGAGGCGTTCGTAGTGGCGCCTAGCATCTTCCGGCGACTTGCCGCCGCCAACGAAGCGAGCGACTTTCTGCCAGCGATTGGGGGTTTCCTCGTCGTATTTAGCTAGTGCACGCTCGAAGAGCTTGTTCTGCTCCTTGGACCAGCCGGAGCTGGAGCTGCGTGATGACGAAGACGATGTCATTAATGGTATGAGGATGGTGGGATGAGGAGTTTATTGAAGTGGTGTTTTGGTATGGTTTCTATGGCTGTGAGTTGTGGGCGGAGGTATTTATAAGGAATTCTATGTGGAATCAAAATATGAGTATCATCAAATTTATTGGTACAATGAAGTACAATTTCGAATTTGAATTCAAAATCTTTTAACCTTTACATCACACACACATATTATGCTTAAATATAAATACAACATTAAATTAATTTAAATCTTAAAGTAATAAATTTAAATTTAGAATTATTTAAAAATTAACTATTATATCATCAAAATAGTATTTTAAAATTTAATATGTTGCATGTTAAAAATTTAATAATATTTTTTTAATGATTCTATGCCCACTTTTTAAAAATTTTGAATTCAAACCAAATCTTGCAATTATTTCATTCTTTCAAAATAGTTTTGCCAATGTGGGCTCCGAAAATTTGGCCCCGGCCTATTCGTCGCGCATTGTTTGCTTTGCTTTTATCTTCGGCAAGACAGTTTTGACAAAGTAAGTTCCGGGGTAAATTTTGGAAGGCAGATGGGTTTCTAGATAAGAAACTACCCAGAGATTTCGCCCTCATTTTGCGAGGACTTTATGATCTGAGTTCTGGTTTCCTATTGGCGCAAGCGCCTATAGTTAATTATCCCTCCCGGTAACGTAAGAGAACTTTCGATTAAGGCTAGTCGTCAATCAGATACGTAGAGATACGTGTTATCTGGCATAGAGTAGCAGCAATGCGCATTGATATGAGATTTAAGTTTACATTTGAAAATTTGAAGATTTGATATTTAAAATTAGAAATTGCACCACTTGCACTTAAAGCGGATGGTGGGGGAATGGATGATAGACCCGATCAAGATCACATGGTTCCGTCGTTCCGGGTCATCATGGTCCCTGGTCTACTTAGTCAGAGGAGGTAGTCGACCCAACCAAACAGAAGGATCCTTGTCGGTAGCCATGGATTGCTTCGTCTAAGGGAACCTTGTAGACCTGGGTTGGATATTTGCCTAAAGTGGCAAATTTGAATCCACCTTAACTAACAGAGGGATATGTGCCCTATCGATCATATCCTATTGATTTATATCTCAAGGATTTGATTCCACTAAGGAGCATATTCGCTCTGGCCTTAACTGGTATTTCGTGGTGCCGTTTGGCGGCAAAACCACTCGGTTCAGAGGGCCCCGGGTCATAACTGTTTATCCTGTGATGCCTTTTTGCGGTAAAACTAACGGTTATAGGACACATACCACGTCCTTACTAGCAGGAGATTGTTTGAGAATGAATTATAGTTATATTTTTGACTAGGCATTTGGCTCTATGTGAGCCGAAGTAAATTTTAATTTGTCCACCTTAGCAAACTATTATGGAGGGAGGAGGGATTTTGCTTTGAGTAGTTTAATGGATAGATTTTAATTTTAAATATCTTTGGATTTTAACATTTTGGGATTTTTTTAGAATTTTGGATTTTGATATTTTGGATTTTTGGATTTGGACTTTGTGAAGTTTTGGATTTTTGTGGGTATTTTGGTGGAGCTTGAAAATATTTTTGAACCCATCCGGTTGAGATAAACATTCAACATAGCCATCATCGGGGTATTTGCGGGCATTTTCATTTTCTGGATTGAACTTTATCGACTCTGTCTACTAGTCGATAGAGGATCAGGTTTCATGAGTTTTATGCATTTATTAATGAATTCTCTTAATTATAGGCCTTGAAGGCCTAATATGAATGTATTAAAACAAATATACTGGTTGCCACAACTGTATATTTATTTGAAGGTTTGAAACCTGTCGACTCCTATTGATCCGTATAGAAGGATCGGGTTCCAACTAGAATTCACTTATTGACCCGCGTAGCATCCCTAGACATCACATGTGTACCAATGACTTGTTCACTAGGTCCCACGCGGTGTTTGAGGGCATTTTATAATTGAACCCTATCAACTCCTTTTATTTACTTAGAAGGATCGGATTCAAATTTAATAACCCACGCAACATCCCTAGACGTCATGTGTGTACCAATAACACGCTCGTCGGGGCCCATGTGGGTTTTTTAATTATTTTTACCCCTTTTAGTGTACCTATGTGTATACAAACTACGGTGCACATGCGGGGGTACTTTGAAAATATTTAGAAACGCCTTCTGTCCGCTTGTATGAATAATACGGATCCAGTGGCATTGGGTAGCAACTTCTAAATAGAGTTGTTCACAGCTTCGTACAAGTACACTATCGTGCACTACTTGCATGATTTGCATAGGTAAATTATATTGCACTAACTAATCTCCTACCTTAGTTTTTCAATTCTTTGCATTCTAAATCTTTCTGTGAATTCTTTGTTGGGGAAAATCATCCAGCATATCACTAAGGGAAAATTTCTTTAGATCCACTTAGTATTATTCTAATTAAACAATGGAGAATGAAACTAGGCCCCAGTACTCTAAGAACTTGGATGGGTCAGTTTTATACCATAGTTCGTAAGTAACTCATTACATCTCTTACACTTCCTTTCACTTCTTATGAATGAAATATACCATATCATTCTTATAAAAATGTCTCCTATGTCAAATCATATCTCTTTCAGTCTTTTTGTTGTTTGCAAATTACATTCTTCCTTATACATATGAACTTATGTACTTGTACAACCGACAGGCTCATGTTCATTATATATCTTCATTTGTAAGAGAGAAGTTCATTCATCAACAAACTGTATCACATATATTTATATAAAATATTGTCATTTGTAGGCAATATTACTACGCCTGTTTGTAATCAAGCAACTTTGATTGTATGCAAATTGCATTTCATTTCGAACCTCTTATATACACATTGACTAATAAGTCATTGCATTTGTTGTTTGTAAGGTATTGGTGTATTCTTCTACTAGGGAATTGCTCTTGATTGTCAGGGCATCGTTACATCTTCTATAATGTTAATTAGTTACTGTTTGTGTATGAGTCATATCATATATCATGGTTCTTTGTTGATTTTGAAGAGAACTCATATTTCACATGGTAGATTCACATATTGATGTTGTTACGATGCTCATATGATTGTTCATTGAAACCTTGCTATTGATTGTGGACACATCATTGCACCTCCTATTTCATTATGAGCATGTCATTTTATTCTCCATTTGGTCCATGTTAATGATTTCTTGCAAGTTCCTTATTATTCGGAACTCAAATACTTTGTATTTGTTCATTTGAGTTCAAGTTATGCATAATACTTTGCATTTTCTTGTATGCAAGTCCAAGTGACCCAAGTTCAAGTTTACGGATCTTCATAGTTAAATCGCAAGTCTTTGCTTGTGTTCAAGTTGTTCAAGACTTTGCTCACATCATTTGATTTCCAAATCAAGTGTGAGTTCAAGTTCAATTAAACCTCAAATCAAGTTTGAGTGTAGCCCTTTGTTGTTCATCAAGTCCCTTGTATCATTTTTAAGTTCAAGTTTATTATTGTTCAATTCAAGTTCAAAGAAAGCTTGAGTCAAGTTCTTATTTCAATTTTATTTTAATTAAGTTCAGAATTAGTCATTTGCATTTTGTCCACAAGTCTTCTGTGAATGTTCAATTAAATTCAAAGGTTCATAATTTTGAGTCCGAGTTCGGTTGTCCTTTGAGTTCAATCAAGCCAAGTGTAGCATTGGGTTCACCCGAAATTTCAATAGCCTCCCGGTGTCTCCCTTGTTTAGGGGAAAACTATAGGAAACTGGGCCTTTCCTATTGCAAATCTATTTTTCATGTCTTATGTTTTGATGATTGACAAACACTTTAAACTCTCTTGGACTGCATGTTACTTCTAACTTTTCAAGAATCAAAGATCGGACGAACAATAGAAGCCAGTTCAAGATTGCGTAGGTTTAGGGTTGAGTCAGTCTGTACTTTATTTTTTCTCTTATTGAGTCTATTTGTAATGTCCAAAGAGACTGATGCTAAGTAACCCTACAAACACACACACACTTGAGAGACTTAGAATTTTTGTTTTTACTCATATCGGCCAAGATGATATTTATATCGTCCTGGACGATCGGGCTTAAATCAGAAAATCTAAATAATGATTTTTAATTAAGGTAGCCGTCATCAACAGATCGTCCTTGACGATACATGTATCGGGCAGGATGATAAGCTCAAAACAGAAAGAAGTTGCCACCATAGATAATTAAGGTATTATGTATTTTTAAATAATCGGCCTGGACGATATTCACAAATTATGCCTTAATTGATCAGGAAATCAAGGGAGTAATTAAGGATGATTGATACGATCATATCGTCCTGGACGATCGCAGTATCGTCTAGGACGATCTATTCAAAAACCTTAGTTACTTCTGGACGATAAATATCGGCCAGCCAAATTCGGCGATATGTCTGGATAAATTTTCCTCTGATTTGAACTGATCAGCATGGACATGTGAGATCGTGCCTAGACGATCAAGCCAATTATAATCGTCTAATTTGCTATTCAGGGCGATGCTCTGGACGATCTTTGAATGTACTTGATATTGGCCAGGACGTGTCATATCAAGCTGGACGATATTGTCGGCAAACTTGAATTAATGAATCTCCTTTGAAGCTCATTCTATTTAAGAGCTCCATGTTCACATTTTAATAATCTTTGCTATGCCTTTGACCTGAGAAGCCTTGAGAGAGAAAGAGAGTGAGGGAAGAGAGAGGATCTGGTGAGGGGGAACTTTGAGGGATTCATAAGGGTTGCTTCAAGATTGGCTCTGCTTCTTTCTTCGTCTAGATTCCGTCTGTGAGAAGGTTGCGTAGAGGTAAGGAGTCAGCATCTAGAATGTGGTTCTCTGCTCAGCTTCAGGAGGAAAGCAAAAAGAGAAGGTTCTCTGCCTTGCCGGGGGTGGCTAAAAAGGATGTTCATGTCAAGAAGGCCTCTCTCTTCCTAGCTATGGGGCTAAGGAGAGTCACGATTGTAGTGCAATACTCGGAGGCCTTCTGTGGGAGTGGACGAGTCGAGTTTACCCGAACCACTATAATATTCTCTTGTTCTTATTTTTTGCTTCCCGCACTTAATTTCCACATTTATTTTATCGTGTGATTTTAGTGT